ATAATTTCATGAACAAAAAAAAATGTTCAACTATGTTTTTTCTAAATTTTTAACTAATTTTATTTTAGTATTTTTTTCAAATCGGAATATTTTGGCTGAAGTCTTTAATTATAAAAAGTATTATATTTCCAGTGCAAAGCCTGTTTTTATTTTTGGTGGGTCACCCTAATGTACAGATGTATATAGCAAAAGGAGGCCGCGAAAAAGGGCTTGCATTCAACAGTCGAATCAACAAAAGCAGGCATATTTAATACGGGAGCAAGGGGATATGGCGGCATGGCATGAATGCCATTACAAAATAAATTTCGAAACGAAAAGAACAAAATAAACGGAGCATAAAATAGGGGCATATACGGGCAGCAGTTCGTACCAACTTGGCATGTAAATGCGGGAAAAATCGACGGTTCACCTGTGAAAGGGCGCTAAAGCTCCAACAAGGTCTCTCACCATTACCATTCAAGAAGAAGAAGGAATAATTGTCCAGCATGAAATGCTTTGGCAAGGGAACGCGCACTTTAAAAGCCAACAAAGAATACAAAAGACATTCAAAACTCACTAACAAAAATACAAAAAAACAAGTAAGAAAGTCTAAGTTCGGGCGGGGCCGAACATTAAATACCCGGCGCAAGTATTACATATATGGCTTTTCACCTTTCCGAAAGCTACCGCTACATGGTAAGCCTGGGTGTATCAATTTTGAATAAATTAGCGTCCTTAAATTTCGAAATATTGACGTTTCAAGCATTTCTAAAATTTACCGTTATATGAAAAGCCGTAATTTTAGTCCGATTTCAATAATTTTGAACGTTTTGCTTTTATGTGGCAAGCGCAATAACCATACCGAGTTTGGTACAAATTGGTGGAACGGTTACCGAGATATATGTGATCATAAGTGGGCGGTGCCACGCCCATTTTCCAAAATGTTATGATAAGCGTATTTCCTGGTAAAGAATTGTTGCAAGCATCAATTTTGAATAAATTAGCTTTAATATTTACTGATTTATCGAAGATTTCGTATTTCTCCAAATTACCGTTATATGGGATGTGGGCGTGGTTATTGTCCGATTTTTAAAATTTTCGGCCATTTGGTATCCTGTACCAAGGCCAATAACTGCGCCAAGTTTGGAAGAAATCGGTGCAGCGGTTGTCAAGATATACACATGTAACCATAAGTGGGCGTGGCTACGCCCATTTTTCAAAAATTTATAATATTCTTATTTTTCGTCTAAAAGTTATTGCAAATATCAATTTTGAGTGAATAATCTTCAGTAGTTACTAAAATATCGCAGTTTTCGTATTTCTGAAAATTACCGTTATATGGGAGGTAGGCGTGGTTATTGTCCGATTTTGCCCATTTTCAATACCATCCGTCCTACGCCCGAAAGAAGTACACGTACCAAGTTTCGTTAAGATATCTTAATTTTTACTCGAGTTATCGTGTGCACAGACGGACAGACGGACGGACGGACGGACGGACGGACGGACAGACAGTCACCGCTTAATCGATTTCTCTTTTCATCCTGATCATTTATGTATACATTTGTCTATATCTATCTCGATTCGTTCTGCCTGTTACAAACAACCGTTATGTGAACAAAGTTATAATACCCTTGTGCACAAGTGCGCTCGGGTATAAAAAAAACAAAAATGGCGCCTTGACTAGAGTCCTGCTCAACCCTTGCATTCAATCACTAGTAGAACAAATTTAGAGTTTTATATAAAGAAATTCTGCGTTTGAAGCGGTTTCATTCGCTTTTTGTAGGAGTTAGTGGGCATAGAGAAGTTCACTTCGAACTATTATTTTCAATATCTGTAAAAAATAGCTAGGCAAAGGTTGGAAAACAAATTGAAGTTTGCAATGGTTAAAAACTCGATTAGTTGACTGTATGACTGTATTTGCACATAAGTGGTTTACATAAGAGTCGGAAACTTTTTGAAAGCCTTCCATATTCATTTGGTAGAAAACTAAAGCCTGACCTTTCCCTGATTCTTCAATGTTACGCCATTCACTACCCTTTTGTCTTCTTTGAAATAGTCCTTTCAATTAATTTTCTTCGCCTTTATTTAAATGTCAAATGGTTTAAGTTTTGTTTGCCAACAATAATGTAATGCTAATAATTAGCAAAAATAAATTTTTTTCACTTTTCGCAAATGGCAATTTGGCTGCCCCGAAAATTCTATTTATTATTTCTTAAAGTCTTATTGCGGCCACTGTGGTGTTGTGATTATTAGTGCGCACTACCATTCTGCATGGCCTAGGATGGAGCTTAGTTTCCGACTAACGTAGGAGTAGGCGTAAAACTGTCCATTCCGCGCCTTTGTGTGACAACATCAAGGTGCTATTCGGAGGTGCTATTCTGTAATTACGAACTTCGTTATTAAGCTTATTCCAGTTTACAGCAAAATCACTGCATTACCGATGAGTTGAAAAGACAGAGAGCCCTCGAGGAATTACTTCCGAATTGAGAAGGTCTGAGAGGAGGTATGGGAATGGAGGTGGAATCATCTCAACACCTGCCGCTCTGGTGCCCTGCCTTTGCAGGCCAAGGTTTAAGCACCTTGGGTCGCTCATTCTCACACTCGCGATGAGTTTTAGTTAATTAACATCAGTCGCTTGAGGAGCCTCGTTCTGCCTGCGTCCATTTCCCTCTCCCCTCTTAAGGGCAACACAATGGTCAGCTTAGTCCATCTACGAAGGCAGCCCGCTAACCTAACTTAACCTAGGCATATATATGGAATTAAAAAATTTCTTTTAGATCATTATCTTTTTTATAATAATTACATATTGATTATTCCCAAGATTTTTACTATATAATATTTTGAAAAACGCATCTAAGCATTTTTGTGTAAAAAGTTTTTCTAGCCCAATTCATAGGTTTCAAAAATTGGTATCGAGTTTTAACCCCGAAATTCTATTATCCCTCGTTACTTGTAGAGCTAACTTAAATAAGATGAATTTCCCCAACATGCTAAAGCGAAAAAGTAAATTCAAATCATTTAATCCAAATAACCAAAAGTGGTAAACAATAAAAAAACATGAGCACAAATAACCAGCTTTGAAATAAATTTGACAAGTGATATATGATTTTTGCCTACATATTTGATGTCATATCAATATCATAAACTGACAAGCAAATAGCATTATCATGAAAGCCAAAAACACACAGATATGCAAATACGTGTAATTTGAGAATGCTTATGACAACAGTGGCAGCAGTGACAGCACTTCAGAGAGAAATTCGATTTGGAGAATGGAAATATAAAATTAAAACAAAAAGAAAAGTAGAATACAAATTTTAAGGATTATGTGTGTACACGAATGAATCTTTATGTGGGCGTGGATAGCAAATAGCCATACAGAGAGCTTTGATAAATTTTCATTCTGCATTTTTTTTTTAATTTTAATCGATTTTGATTTCGAGGGGCAACATGCTGGGAGCAAAAAGCACTGGTCGATAATTTGTATATGCATATATATGTAGATGGCTGAGTGGAAGATCAAACTATCTCGGCAGCCAGTTCGAAAACGCCCTATCTCATAAAATTTTTCAAGAACGCCCTATTTCAGAATTTTAGAACTCGCTTGAAAAATTCTGAAGTAGGGCTGCCGAAATAGGTCGATCTTCCACTCAGTCATTCATATGTATGTACGTAGCTTAGGCGTTAAATATTGTTGCAGTAAGCTATCAGATCTCCTCAAGCCACTTCCCGTTGACGTTTTGTAGGATTTCAATATGCTTTCGACCAAATACATTTTTTATTTTAAAATTTTTCACTCATTTTTATCTTTGCTTCAATTCGTGTAACGATAGTTGCATGCTACATCGCTTCAAGTGTTATCAAGGGCACTGTTGAACGACGTATCACGTTGCATGCCACTGCAATGGCACCGAATGTTTACGCGTATACACCAACATCGAAAGCATGAAGAAGGAGAAAAACTGAAGCGCAAGCAATTTTGATCAATTTATACCACACAAACGCATGTTGTAACAAGCACATATAAATTTAAACAAGTGCATATAAAAATGTTGAATAGCCACTTTGCGACTGTTGCATACTCGTCTATGCAGCCGAATGCTACTTGAGTAGTAATGGCATAGCAACTGTTGTTTGTGTCGCATACTGTGGAGCACACTCCCGGTCCGGACAATGTTACTCAGCTTCATTTATTTATTTCTATTTATTTAAGTTATCTTTTTTATTTCAATTTTGTTGCGTTGACTTTCAAGTGCACTTGAAATGACGTTGCATGTTGCAGCAGCAGCAGTTTAGTTGCAGTTTACTGCCGAGCATGCGTATATCTACCCTGCAGTGAAAATCCAAATCAGTTAGAAAAACTAGTAGCTCATTAACTAGTATGTGCCTACCAGTTTGACAACTTCGAAGAACTTAATCGTTCAGCTATATCTGCCTTTGAATTGCCAACGCCAAAAATAAAACTTAATTTAATTATTTTTTTATTTATTTAAAAATTGCCTAAAAACCATAAATAAAAAATTAACTACAAAATATAAAATAAAAAAAAAAATTCCCCTGCACCACGACTTGAACCTGGGACCTCAGGCATAGATACGACGGGAGTGCTTTGCTCTGTCGG